GACGCGTTTCAGAAAGGCGGGGCATAGAGGAGAAACAATAATGTACAGTATGTGGAAAATAATGTGTTTTTTGGACCTTAAACCGCATAAACACATTTCATTACACCAAATACACAAAATAATGTTCTTTTTAGCAACATCATATGACCCCTTTAATACTGCTGAGTTTTGCCCGGATGAGATAACCCTCATGTGCATGCCCTTAAATGTGTTTCTTGGGACATTATCTCGAGAGCATCAAGGCATGTGGCAATTCCCCAGTATTTAACCTCATTGACAATATACCACATCATCATAAAGCTCACCAATCAAATGTGAGAGTTTCTATAATAATACTTTCATGAACATTTTAAACACTGCTCGTTTGACACACTTTGCTCCTTGTAGTCTCTTGATGGTTTGAATTGCAAACACGATGAGAAGCTGCTTTAAGAGCTGTTCAGAATAAACAACACTTTTCTCACATTTTTCACATAAGCTGCCTTCTCTCTCAAACCATCTGTCTCTTCGCTTGTGATGAGACTGTGACTCTTTTCCTTTAAATGCAGGTACAGAGCCAGATCCTTCCTGGAGGGGTTCATTTGTATTCTGTTGTTTCCGTGAAGTACAGACTGTATTGTGTTGATTTTAGCTATGAGCTGGTTTGCGCTTCAAATAGTTTGTGGAGTCGAACAGCAACTCTGGATGTCGACAGCAGGTCTCCTTTCTTTCAAAACCAAGATTATATAAATTAATTATAAATTAAATGATTCAAGCTTAGCTGTTTCATATTAAATTGATCATATCTACTCACCCTCATGTTGTTCCTAGTTTAAACCCATAAGATTGTCTTTCACCTGAGAAACCGGAGAGATTTGTCTCCCTCCACATAAAGGACATTACACCACAACTTTGGTGCTTTAAAATGTTCAAAAAGACATCACAAATAAAAATCAGTATGAATTGAGTGGTTTAATCAAAGTGTTTTGAAGAGACACATTTGATTTTATAGGCTTTTATTTACATAAAAACATTATTCACACATTAAATGATAAACGGAAGCTGAAATATGGAAATAATGTATCATGATTTGTGGTGGAATGAACTTTCAGTGGAGGCAGAGAAATCTAGGATAGCTTGAAATTGGTCAGATTAACAATTACACTACACCCTCTGTACGAACTGTGGACTGCTAATTGTACACTGCTTTTATTTAACCATTGTAAAATGCTTATTTTTTAAAGTTCCTATGAGTTTTTAAATATTTTTATGGTGGTACTTTAAAGCCAAGGGCTAAAGTGATTATAACCCTCCTCGTTCACTCATTGCTGCGAGTGAGTTTAGCTGTATACTTAAACCCTTTCCTTTACTGGAGAGATAATATTTTCCTACAGGCTAACTCTGTCTGCCCTCTTTTATGGTAAGTTACTGAAGCTCTGACTCATTCACACACATATTGTGATGCTGTTGTGCTGAAGCTGAAGTGTCATATTCAGCATTTCAATAAGTCCCACTATTAGCTTCTAATGCAAAAAAGGGCAAAACAGGAGATGGATGTTTTAATTTAAATTTAAATAAAAAAATTACACAGATTACTATGGAAGGCCATTTCCGCCATTGAATAAAAAATTGTGAGTTTATATCACACAATTCTGACTTTATAACACGCAATTGCAAGTTTATATCACGCAATTATGAAAAGAAAAGTCAGAATTGTGAGATAAAAAGTCGCAATTACCTTTTTTATTTTTTATTCAGTGGCGGAAACGGGCTTCCATAGAATACTGCATTTCATTGCAGGCTGTGATTCTATGGAATAAGAGAACTGGTTAAGAGAGTTGAATGCATTTTGCTATGAAATTAAGCAACTCTATTTACATATGTAATTATGCCATTTCCCCCCTCCAAGGTTACGCTATAGCTACACAGGCGAGCAGTTAAATTAGGATTGTTGAGTTCGTTTTGGCAGAGTGTCAGTGACAGAGAAAAATTAATTCAAAGAAATTCACTCCAAATGTATTCTGCCTGTGGTTGCATTTATTTGCTCACACTGTCTACTAAAGTGCACCTGAAATTTGCATATGATGTACAGCAGAAATACTATGCACTGCAGGAATAGTATGCTAGTATGCTATTTTGAACATGCTCTGTTTTTTGTTTGATCAGGTAATAAGTTCTCCTCGTCCCACGCGCGTCTGCTGGTGGTTGGGGTGTGGTGTTACGCTGCAGTGTTTGCAGTAGGTCCGCTCTCAGGCTGGGGTCAGTACGGCTCAGAGCCTTACGGCACCGCCTGCTGCATCGACTGGCACGCGCCCAGCTACAACACACCTGCCATGATCTACATCGTCTGCCTCTTCTTCTTCTGCTACATCGTCCCCTGCACCATCATCATCCTCTCCTACACGCTCATCCTGGTGACAGTCCGGGGGGCCCAGCATGCAGTGCAGCAGCACGTCTCTCCTCAGAACAAAATCTCCAACGTGCAGACACTTCTCGTCAAGGTAAGAGTTGAAGGAGAATAGATATTCCACTTATTTTGAACTTGTTGGAGGTAGTGGTAGAAATACTGGTTGCAACCATGTCTTGTATTTAAGACATTTCCAAACAACTGAAATGTCATGTGGTATAAGTACTTGGCCCGAATCAGTTTTCTAAAGTGTTTTTGAAAAAATACATACCCCACCTTTAATCAGGTAAAAGTGATAACAGTAACACTTTACAATGGTAACACTTTATTTTGATATTTTGAGTCTAATTTAGACATATAACTAACGAAAAGTAACTTTGCTACATGTCAATATCATTAACAATAAATATTGTATGATATTGTATCATTTCATATTGTTAACAGTGCAACAAATCCATTGCTCATTGTTAGTTTTACTAAAAAGTTAATGCATTAACTAACACTAAGAGGCCTTTATTGTAAAGTGGTATCTTGACAACAAATTATCCTGAAATCTTGCACATTTTTTTTTACTTATCATTATCATATTTATGTTTGATAAATTTAAAAATGCACTAAAATACTATTTCTTTTTTAAATCAGGAATGATAACAAAGAGATGAAACAATGGAAAGTGTGTCATACTTTAATATGTGGGTGTTTTGTTCTGGTTTTCATTCTTTGCAATATTTGTCAATTAGTAGTGATTATCAAGGCAAGCATCCCTTTCACTCCGAGAATTATAACTGTAACATTACTCATGAGGTTTTAAAGGGGTCATATGATGCTTTTTTAAAGATCATTATTTTATTTGGTGTAATTGCTCATTGTTAGTTTTACTAAAAAGTTAATGCATTAACTAACACTAAGAGGCCTTTATTGTAAAGTGGTATCTTGACAACAAATTATCCTGAAATCTTGCACATTTTTTTTTACTTATCATTATCATATTTATGTTTGATAAATTTAAAAATGCACTAAAATACTATTTCTTTTTTAAATCAGGAATGATAACAAAGAGATGAAACAATGGAAAGTGTGTCATACTTTAATATGTGGGTGTTTTGTTCTGGTTTTCATTCTTTGCAATATTTGTAATGTCAATTAGTAGTGATTATCAAGGCAAGCATCCCTTTCACTCCGAGAATTATAACTGTAACATTACTCATGAGGTTTTAATAATTATCCTTCTGTGAGAATAGAAAATTCTACACCACAGTTATAATCTATTTTGGGGAAGTTGTGGCCTAATGGTTAGAGAGTCAGACTCGTAACCCAAAGGTTGCTCCACTGCTCTGGGTGTGTGTTCACGGTGGGTGGGTGTTCACGGTGTGTGTGCACTAAGGATGGGTTAAATGCAGAGCACTAATTCCAAGTATGGGTCACCATTCAGTTCATATTTCACAATTCTGACATTTTCCTTGCAATTCTGAGAAAGAAAAAAAAAGTTGTGAAATAAAAAAGTTGCACTTACCTTTTTTTTATTATTCCGAACTTATTCGGAGCTCAATATTCTAAATTTATATCATGCAATTTTGAATTGCAGGAAAAGAAGTCATAATTACATTCATTCATTCATTCATTCATTCATTCTGCAGTGGAAATAAGTTTATGTGACTTTTTGAGTATATTTGGTCCAACAACAAAATTAATTTTGTTCAGATATTAAATATTAATGTACACTTTAGAATTCAAATGTGTATTGATTGTTTGTGAATTGCTTTTTAATGCCCTTTTGAATACACTTCATATCATTATAAGGGTCATATCATTGACCCTTTGCATATATATATATATATATATATATACAGCCAACCTGACAGAACTGGAGAGGATTTGCAAGGAGGAATGGCAGAGGATCCCCAAATCCAGGTGTGAAAGACTTGTTGCATCTTTCCCAAAAAGACTCATGGCTGTATTAGATCAAGAGGGTGCTTCTACTAAATACTGAGCATTTTTCAGTTTTTCTTTTTTAATAAATCTGCAAAGATGTCAACAATTCTGTGTTTTTCTGTCAATATGGGGTGCTGTGTGTACATTAATGAGGAAAAAAAATTAACTTAAAAGATTTTAGCAAATGGCTGCAATATAACAAAGAGTGAAAAATTTAAGGGGGTCTGAATACTTTCCGTACCCACTGTATATCTGTATTAAAGGACATGTGTTGATATTTCTGTCTGTGTATGTGTTTCCTCTTCATGTAGCTGTCAGTGGCAGTATGTATTGGATTTCTGATGGCGTGGAGTCCGTACGCTGTAGTATCCATGTGGGCAGCCTTTAATGAACCAGACTTGGTACCTCCAATAGCATTTGCCTTGGCGGCCATGTTTGCCAAGTCATCCACCCTCTACAATCCGATGGTCTACCTCGTCTTTAAGCCCAGCTTCCGAAAATCCCTGTGCCGGGACGCCACACGATGCAAGAGAACACTCTGTCCCTGCATATGCCAGACAGACAGCCAACAAAAAAGCACAACAAGCCTTTCAAAACCGAACACAAAGGATAAGTGTAACCTCACGTGGGACTCTAATGGACTGAATGAGAGCCACCAGTCATGCAGAGATCGTCCAGAAGGACAAACAGGGCATTACCTGGACATCACACCCCAAAGGACAGCACGCATCCTCGTCGGCTCCACTCACAGTGAGGTGGCAGTCAGCCAACTCTCCAACGAAATCAACAGCGACTTCCTTTAGACGATGAGAAACTGATCGTAGCAAAAACGAAAAATGGTGTTGATAAATTTGCCTTAAAGTCTCAAACGAACTAGTATTCCGTTTGCAAGAGGATATTACGCCACTTGACTTGTTAATTAAGCAAAAAAGACTTTTTGGCTACCTGGTAACTCACAATACCAAGAAACATTTGATTTGGTGGCAAAATTACATGGCAAACTTGGACTTGACATGCCACTCTCAAATAATGGTTCATCCCAAATGAAAAAATCTGTCGTTATGTGTTCTTTCTCATTCCTTCCAAACCTGTATGCATGAGTTTACAATTATTTATCAATGACGCACAAAAATCCTTAATGCTTCATGACGTTATTGAGGTCCAACATGACAGATGCCTTGAAAGGAGCATATTGGACTTGTAGTACAGTCTATTGCGCTACAGATTATTCAATAACAGTCAATAACAATAACAGTAATTGTCAAATTATTGGTCCCCCCAATCACGTTGCACACACAGAAACATTTAGGAGCACAGAAACTTGCCAACCCTGCGACTTTTTCAGTGATTTAACATTTCCATCATAAAACAGTTGACTAATATTAAATGTATTGATTAGATTTTAAATTTCTTATCATGCTTTTTTCAGCGTTAAACTGATGCCATCACACTGGAATTTGCGCTCTGCTTCTGTGAACGGTAAAGCCCACCTACTTTGATTTGACTGTTTAGGCAGACCAGGTTGAAAATTAAACTTTTAACCCTTTTTGTCATCCTAAAAACAGAGCACTGCGTAATGGAGTGCAGCAGATCAGTGCAAGAATTTCAAATACTGGGGGGACAGATTGGCCATTTCTAATTATTGGGGGGGGACTTTTCGTGTTTTTCTTGCAAAAAACTCAAGTGGCTATAGTAGACTTGGAGTGCACAACTTACATGTTGTACTATATGTATAGAGCTATTTGATATTGTTTTAGTAATTTTTGAGCTTGGATACAGTAGACGTGGTTGCCATGAACTATGAAAAAGAGCTGCATGAAGATTCCTCAAATTCTGCTTAAAAATATAACAACATACAGGTTTGGAAGGTGATTGTAAATAATGACAGAATGTTCCTTTTTTAAACTTTACACTTTTAAACTTTAATCAACGTGGCAACCTTTCGTTCAGGCTTTTTGTAGCCAGTTACTGGTTTAAAAATATATATATATATATTTTTTTTTTTAAGTGAGAGTTTTAGCTCTCCTGACTTCAGTTCCTCTCGGCGTACTGATGAAAAGCCCAAATCCCATGACTTCTCTTCTGGTGAGACACTGGTTATCAGTGCATCTGCTCAACACTATATTTATTTATTTATTTATTTAAATGAAGCCTCAAATGCAACTAATATATTATGGATTACATTGTCAATTTATGATGGAATCTGCTGTTTTCACCTGTGAATGGAACTGAAAACGTACAATTATATTTGGTTGACAGAATTAAAGCTTATATATTTAGATATTTGATGGATAAAATGTTATAATATTCAGCAATTTACCCTTTATTTATTAATCCAGAGATATATCTGATAAAGAAAACAATCTGTCTCATACAAAATGTGCAACTTTTACACAAATTGAGAAAAACAAATCAACCTACACAATTTAAAATCATTGCAATATATCAGCATTGCTAACATTGCTGTGTTCCATTTTTTATTTATGCAATTTATGTTGTAGGTCCTAATGAATCACTGGAAAAAGATTTACAAAAATAATTTTACAAAAAAGCAAAAAAAAAAAAAGTTTGCTTGATTGATATGCTGGAATGCAAAAAGCATACATTTTCATGTAATCTCGCTCATACAGTGATATGAAAAGGTAAGTAAACCCCTTTCTCAGCATATGTGAGCATATCAATAATGGAACTTTGATGGGTTCAAGGTAATATAATTTATTAAATCAAAATGTTTTTTTGAAATCTTTTTTCCCCCATTAAAAACAAAAGTAAGGTATTTTCTGTGAAAGTGCGAGACTTCCAGTTCATTAGCTGCTGTAGGTAAATAATGAGAAGAATAACAATGTGCAGTAAATGGTAAAATAGTTTGCACTACAAACCAGTGTGTTCATAATTAGGATAATACATTAAAATAATATTGTATGATCCAGTTTGCAATATCAAGCAGCAAAACGAGCCAGCTAAAAATAATAATAATTATTATTAAATATATTATTAAAAATGATTAAAATATAGCCAAAAATAGCTGGAAGTGAAAGCCGTTTCCATAAAATGTACAAATGCCTGTGCATATTTAGAAGAAACATTATCTTGTAACCGTCCACTTACAGCTTCATGCTTTTCCCAAGCACTGTTGATATAATGTGGAATTCTTTGAGATTATGATGGCAACAGCTTTAAAACTCTTCCACCACCGTGCTTTAAGTCTGGGTAGCATGAGTTTCTCTTCCTCAAATGGAATGTTTGGATTTTGTCAAACATTATATTCAGAACTTGCAAACAACTCCAGTCTCTCCAGAGAAGACCCAGCCTGGACAGTTTGCCTGTGGTGTGAAACATTCTCCATTTGAAAATCATTGTACATTTAATAGAATGGTTGATTTTAAATAGCTTGGAGATGGCTGTAAATCTCTTTCCAGATGCGTAAGCCTCAACAATTTCTCTTCTGAGGGGCTCAGGAAGTTCTTTTGATCGTGACATGAGGGTTCAATACTTGTTATCAAACCAGATGAGTACATTAAGGTTTATATACGGTGTGGCCTTCCTCTTCAGTGGTTCTTGCTCTTGATTCTACTTATTAGTCCACTTGATTTTACTTTTAGGCCATGATGTAATGATATCTTTTCACATAAAAAAGGGCTTTTCTGTTTAAGGTGGACAGATCAAAAAATTAACATTGCAAGGGCCATTTTTTTTGGCCAATTCTACTTTATCCTTTAACACACTCTGTTGACTATAAGTAACGTTGCACCTACATATCTATTAACTGAGGGTTAGGGTTAGAATAAGCTCACATGTTCTTGCAAAGATAGTCAGTAGAGTGTCTGTTGGGAGACCATCACAATAAAGAATTAAAAGCAGATATTAATCAGACAGTCTCATTAATACTCTAATGAGAGTTAGTTGACTAAGGTGCAAAAGTTACTTGTTGTCAACAGAATGCTCAAAATAAAGTGTTACCCATTTTTTAAACTACATTGCCTTTTATCTGCTGACATAGGTGAAATTGAATGAAAAATCTAGTTTAATATGCTGAAAAAGTAGACTTTTTATGATTTCTGGTAAGGTGGTTGTAATAGTCCCACTTTATATTAAGTGGCATTAACTACTATGTGCTTACATCAAAAAAATAAGTACATTGCACTTATTGTGTTCATATTGCATTGCAAAACACTTCTGCTGCTATTAAGGTGGAATACGGGTAAGGTTAGGGACAGGTTTGGTGGTATGGGTAGGTTAATTACAGTAATTCATTACAGATATAATTACATGCAGGTTTTTTTTTTTTATATATAAGTGCAATGCAAAAACATGTATGTACACAATAAGTGCATTGTACCAAAAGATTAACTAAAATATAAGTACATAGCATTTAAGCGGCCACTTAATATAAAGTGGGACCGTTGTAAACAACTGCTGTTTCTTACAAATACATAGCTTTTCACTTTACAAGATGCTAACTGATGGACTGGATTGGTGTGGATTATTGTGATGTTTTATCAGCTGTTTGGACTCTCATTCTGACGGCACCCATTCACTGCAGAGGATGAAACTCTTACAAAAACTATGCACCTCCGCGATTGGCTCAATTGCAAATTGCTATTTTAACCAGTATTATCCCACTCACCATTCACTGTAGAATATTCATTGGTGAGCAAGTGACGGAATGCTACATTTCTCCATTTTTTTAAAGCAAATTTCCATTTTTGGGTGACCTATTCCCTTTAAGATGCCTTACAAATGCTAATCAAGGCTGTATCTGTAAAACCATCCTTTTGAACGGAATCTTTTCTCCATACTTTCTTCCACTGTGACCAAACACAGTCAACTTCGAGCATTCTCATCTGCTCCTCCAGTAAGATTCAATTTTCAGTTTTTCCTTTCTTTTCTTTTTTGCAGAGATGTAAGGAAGTCATCACATGGACGCTCCTGACATCACTACTGTATATTATTTAAGACATGGGAATGTGTTGGTTTTTGTGAAACACTGTGATTCTGCAGAGACTTCCGGTTCATTAGCTGCTGTAGGTAAATAATGAGAAGAATAACAATGTGCAGTAAATGGTAAAATAGTTTGCACTACAAACCAGTGTGTTCATAATTAGGATAATACATTAAAATAATATTGTATGATCCAGTTTGCAATATCAAGCAGCAAAACGAGCCAGCTAAAAATAATAATAATTATTATTAAATATATTATTAAAAATGATTAAAATATAGCCAAAAATAGCTGGAAGTGAAAGCCGTTTCCATAAAATGTACAAATGCCTGTGCATATTTAGAAGAAACATTATCTTGTAACCGTCCACTTACAGCTTCATGCTTTTCCCAAGCACTGTTGATATAATGTGGAATTCTTTGAGATTATGATGGCAACAGCTTTAAAACTCTTCCACCACCGTGCTTTAAGTCTGGGTAGCATGAGTTTCTCTTCCTCAAATGGAATGTTTGGATTTTGTCAAACATTATATTCAGAACTTGCAAACAACTCCAGTCTCTCCAGAGAAGACCCAGCCTGGACAGTTTGCCTGTGGTGTGAAACATTCTCCATTTGAAAATCATTGTACATTTAATAGAATGGTTGATTTTAAATAGCTTGGAGATGGCTGTAAATCTCTTTCCAGATGCGTAAGCCTCAACAATTTCTCTTCTGAGGGGCTCAGGAAGTTCTTTTGATCGTGACATGAGGGTTCAATACTTGTTATCAAACCAGATGAGTACATTAAGGTTTATATACGGTGTGGCCTTCCTCTTCAGTGGTGTTCTTGCTCTTGATTCTACTTATTAGTCCACTTGATTTTACTTTTAGGCCATGATGTAATGATATCTTTTCACATAAAAAAGGGCTTTTCTGTTTAAGGTGGACAGATCAAAAAATTAACATTGCAAGGGCCATTTTTTTTGGCCAATTCTACTTTATCCTTTAACACACTCTGTTGACTATAAGTAACGTTGCACCTACATATCTATTAACTGAGGGTTAGGGTTAGAATAAGCTCACATGTTCTTGCAAAGATAGTCAGTAGAGTGTCTGTTGGGAGACCATCACAATAAAGAATTAAAAGCAGATATTAATCAGACAGTCTCATTAATACTCTAATGAGAGTTAGTTGACTAAGGTGCAAAAGTTACTTGT